GCCTCAGCCGTCGCAGACGGTGCGGGGGCCAGGTCTAGCGCGCAATCGGCCGAGCCGTTTTGTGACGAAGACCCCGGCTTGCCACTGCCACCGCCTCCACTAGGAGGCGAGGCCGCGCCGCGCAACGATTCCGAGGACGAGTCCAATAATGACAGTCCGGGGGGAGTGCTAGTGGATGACAGGCTTGTGGCCATGTGAGGCCGGGATCGCCAGCGAGATTCCAGACCGACTCAGTCGGCGAGGACCTTCGGATCAAGGGAGGTCCACCGACCAAGTCGGCGAGGGTTGGGGAGGCAAGCCTTTCTTCGAGATCGGCGGCCGCCGTCCTGCGGCGTAGCGCGCCTCGTATGCCGTTGCAGCTCTGCTTGGCTACCTTGCCCAGTCACTCAGACAACGACAGACTGGCGACCTTGCCCAGTCACTTCTATTTTGCCGATTACAGAATCGCACTCGACGTATAGTTAGCTGCCAGATTGGATCTTGCTTAGATCACAGATCCCACGTAGAATGCCGATGTGGAGCGGTATGCGATATCATTGGCGCGGGGGGAGTCTATGATACTTGTGCACCTCCCTCGCGCTCATCGTTTTGATTCCGCTGCCGTATGCGTGCAATTTCCCCAGGTATGTTGGAACTCTGTTTTCCGACAGCCTTCCCCAGAACCCCGGGGGGAGTGCGGAGAGGAGCTGTTGTGTCAAGCAGATATCTGAACAACGCTTGGTGGCACCCTGCCCGGGGTAAGGCCGCTGGGCCTGTAGCAAAACCAATGAATATGCCAGCGGCGCCATCCACTGGCCTAGCCGGCAGTGGTGGGCATGGCGCCCCATGAAGAGCGAAGGCAGTGCAATGGGGAGTTGGCCGACAGTCCATCAATTGCAGATGACGTAGACGAGTGAAGCCATGCTGCTCCCGCTCCTGTTTCACCCGGTGTAGCTTGCGACTTATCTTCATCGTGGCCTCCGCCTGCGGGTGTCGCCGCCCGAGTTGGACAGTTGCTCAACGTAACATCCACTTCTTCGGTGTTGACGAAAACCGCTGGCGTTCCTGGTCAAACCAGTTAGCGCCAAGCCAGCAACTCCCTGCGGCTTCCGCGCCCGGCCAAGCCGAGGACGCGAAAGGCGCGACACCTTCCGCGGAAGGTTCTAGGTGAAGCTCCGGCAAGCGAATGATTGTGTTCACACGTTTGATTTTCTTTCAGAACACGTTGTAACGGCCAAAGGAGGATACATAAGTGAGCAAACTATTTGCGTTGACCGTAGGTGTGACCGACTTGAGCGCATTGGATCTGTCACGAATGGGGCGTGCATTAGCGAGGGCGAGTGCCCACTGCGCCGGGCTAAGAGGACACATCGGCACCAACTTCACTTTGATGGACTTTGTATATCATGGACGGGCCTCGGCCGATTGAAGCGGCAATGAGTAGGGCACCGTGCAGTAGTGACCCTTGAACGGCACAAGCGTTTGTTGATGGAAGGAGAAAGGCCCCAAAATGTGCAACAGTTTTTCTTCCACTCGTGCGTTCGGCGGAATCAATCAACATCATCATAGCAGCGAAATTTTCGACATTTTCGTTGCGTCTTGCATTGTGGTGCGACTTATTTCTCCCCCAGTGGCCTGATTTGATTTTTCCCAGCTTCAACTTGCAAGTGATGCCGGCTTTGTTTTTGCGGCATGCCAAGCAGCAGCGCGAGGCCCGCGATAACGATAATCAGACTGTGGGTGACTCTGACGGCCTAGCCGTTCAGGGGGCGGATGCCGACATGACGCCAGCGGTCTCAGCGCACCTGCGTCGCCGGTCGGCCAAGCCGCCCCGGGAACAGCTACTAGCGCGGCGGCTCCACCGCCCGCCCCTCCTGCTGCGCCCATCATTCCAACACCCTCAGCGTGGCTTTGGGCCGGCCAGCGGCCCAGCCGCCGCGGCCAGAGACACTGCCCACTTACCGCTTTCGTGCGCCAGCGTTGCCTTGACGTTCTGAGGATTTGATTTGATCACCACCATTACCTCAGCGTTGACAACATAACATTTGATTTGATGTTGGACAGCATGTGCATCCCAGCCCAGTGCGACGTTCTACTTTGCCAGCCTTGTTAGCTCGATTTGCATGTGCCTGGTGCCCCAATCCGTCTTTCTCCGTTTGCCCTATACCCGGCGCAGTACTTGCAACAGTCTACGGAGCTTGCCCGCGCTGTTGGCGAAACGGGGGGGCGCTGTTTGCATTGATTCCTCCTGCCTCTCACTATACGTGGGCGACCAGCGGTCAAACCGCGACGGTCGCAGGAATGATGGCCGACCGTCATCGGTGTCATCGGCCGCTTTTTCTGCGCGACCTCGCTATGCGTGGGTCGGCCAATGTCCGGGCAGCAGGTTGATGAGCGCTATTCCTCGGCGCCTCCTGGCGGCGCCGCCTCGGCGCCTTCCTGGCAAACAAGGACGAGAGCAAGACCAAGGACACTGGCCATCCGCCGGTCCGATCAGGACCGCGCGCCGGCTCCGGCAAGGGCGCGGCCCCCGCGGCAGGCCGTTCCTATGACTGGCACTTCTGGCGCAACAAGAACTGCACCAAGGGCAGGGGCGTTCAGCCGCACGATGGATCTGAATAGACGTGAAGCCAGTTGTTGAGCGACAAGGTTGCACAATTTACCTTCGGCACGTATGCCTTGGGATCGCATCCCTCGTCTAGCACTCGTCAGTGAAGATCTCATGCATCCAGATGTCTACGCGCCGCTGACATTCCCGCCGCCTCCTGCAGCTGATGGAGGAGACATGGGCCAGCAAGGACGAGTGCAAGGCGAAGCCAGAAGATCTTCCAGAAATGAATGGCCAGCTCTATGCGGAGGTGGGGAACGTCGGGCTTCTTCGGCCTTCCGCCCCCTGGCAACCACCGCTGAGCGGTAAAATGTTTTTTGGGGTTCGCTCCGGTGGCTGTGCACTTGCGCGGGCCAGGTGGGTTGGGGGTCGGGGCGGCTCTACGGACCCCGCCGCGGGGGGAGTTAATATGCCCCTCTCCGCATCCTCTCTTTTGCCGCCGCCGCCGCACAATACTTGTAGTATGTATTTGTAGATTTCATTGCCAAAGCCATCGCCGATCTATCGATGATGCATGCATCTGCGCTGTCCGCAGCAACCTGTGTGAGTCAAGTGGAGAAAAGATCTCCGCGCGCGCGCCCCCCCTCGCCCTTCGGCCGGCCTGCCCGGCGCGTGCGCACGTATTCACGTATCGCTTAACAGACTTTATTGTTGCCAAAGCCATGGTTTTCACCAATGGTTCTCTCCGTGAGCTTCCCCAGAAAAGATCTACGACCACACATAGTGAAGCCCCAGGCTTAACTATTGAAGATCATGATACCCATGTTCCTGTTACATCTAACCACGATTCCCAGAGGAACGACAGGGGGGCCCCCGGGGGGCGGGGGTTCGAACCGGTAGTGACCCCGCCCGGTTTTCCAGAGAAGAGGGGGGGGGGTTCTAACCGGTAGTGGCCCCCTCCCGTTTTCCGGAGAGGAGGTGGGGGGGTTCGAACCGGTAGTGACCCCGCCCGGTTTTCCGGCGGGGAGGGGGGGGGGGGGGGGTCGCACGGTTTTCCGCAAGGGAGGGGGGGGGGTAGGGGAGCGGGGTTTTGCCGGGGGAAGAGGGGGGGGGTCCAGCAGGGAGGGGGAAGATTTTCGGAGGGGGGGTGGACCCCGAGGCTCAGGAGGAAAAGGGGGGAATTTTCCACAATAAAGCGGCGGTGGATCACGCTCTCTCTCTCTCTCTCTCTCTTTTTCTCTCTCTCTCTCTCGCTCTCTCTCTCTCTCTCTCTCTCTCTCTCTCTCTCTCTCTCTCTCTCTCTCTCTCTCTCTCTCTCTCTCTCTCTCTCTCTCTCTCTCTCTCTCTCTCTCTCTCTCTTTCTCTCTCTTATATCGCGGGCGAACATTTTACATATCGAAGTTGCGACCTTCTTACTGTTGAGCAGCGGCATCCTCTCGCGCGTGTGGCAGGGATTTCTGGGATTCTCACCATTTCAACTTTCCCCAGTCGCGACCGCGTGGCTGGAAAATGTATAATATAAGGTTCTCGTCGTGTCAGTTTTCCCAGAGTACAAACGCTTGGTAGGGCTGTAGTCACTGTAGTTGATTGCAGCTTTCCGAAGTCACGAAAGTTTGGCAGCGCTTCAGGAGTGTCACCAATTCGACGTCGTCGTTTCCGTGCGACGACGACGATGACGACGACCTCTTTACTCGTCATACATCCCACGTACAACCTGCCGAGACATACCGCTGACTGTCCCCCGGGGGCCCCGAATTTGATTCCCGCCGTTGTCATTATCAGGGGCACAGGGTTGGTCAAGGGTTCCAGCGACGAACCTACGCAGGCAGGCGCGCGTGTCGGACCCAACGCGACCCCCCCCGCGAAAGCCGACGTTGCCTGCCAGCGCGGAGCCCCTCTCGGGCCTTGCCGTCGCGAGCAGAGTCGCGCGGCAGTAGGGTCTGGGCCACAGCTGGCCGCCGCGGGCCCGCACGGGGCCCCGTGGCCGCAGAGAGAAGTCGGGAGGATGACCGGGGCCTGGGGGCAGGGGTTGAGATCTCATGGGCCCCACGTTGCGAAGGATCAGGAGGGAAAAAAACACCCAGACACAATGAATCGTCGATTCCCCGAAAATATAGGAAAATATGGGAAGTGGGAGGGAAGACAGAAACCCAGAAAAAATGTGAAAATATGGGGGATATTTTTATTTGTGTGTATTTATTTGTGTGTCCCAGTTCCCCTTCAAAGGAGTCGCAACGTCACGGGTCTGAGCCAAACCATGCGTGGGCTCCTACTCCGCCGATGCTGCCACCTGCGCAGTGTGCAACCTGTGTGTGTGGCGGCCTGCACGTGCAGCCCACGCCCGTGCAGCCTGCGAGCCAATCGGCAAGCAGGCAGCATAATCTGGTCAGGTTGGAGGGCAGACTAGACACCGAGGGGCAGGAGCACCCAGGTCTCGGAACGTGCTTTACGCGCGCGCGCGCGCCGCGCTGAGGCGTGCAAGGCCAGCTCGGCGCCTGCGTCACCAAG